AGTCAGGCAAACCAACTCCTACCTTTTGTCTCCTCCTGGGGTTCCGCCTCACAACATCATTCCCTGTTAGTCTTCCTAAATCCACTTTACTTCCGCAGGAGAGGGGATCTCCATCAGGCTTCTAGCAGCCCCTTTACTCCCAGATTACGTCTTCCTTTGGGGCAGGAGTTTGTGGCCATCAAGACTAAAAAGCTGACATTGGGGAGTTGGTTTTACTTCGTTTTTTAACAGCTTCTGGTACCTGCAGAGTCTCCTTAGAGTGGTATCTTCTGCTGTGTCCAGGTGATTTGGGGGGGGACTCCCGAATTCCTACAGTAGTGGGCAATAGCTGTGGCCTAGTGGCAAAAGCCCTGGACTCAAGGTTCCCAGGAAATCTGCCTTCATACTTTTCTCTGCCCCTTACTGGCTGTGTGACCCTTAGCAAGTCATTCAACCTTTCTGACCCTCACTTTCCTCATCTGTAAAATGAGGATCATACTACCTATCTCCTAGGGATATCCTGACGATTAATGCTTACAAAAATATCTGAAACAGAAAGATAATAATTCAATTCAACAAACCATGTGCCAGGCTCCAGACTAGATGATGCGGACACAAAAATATATACAAATACTAGCTGCCTTCAAATTGTTCACCACGTAGAAATGCTGTTAATAAGAATTTATTTTCTTTTTTCCTTACTTTAACCTTCTTTTAGGATGCCAATAGGAGCTTCAGAACTTTGATTCTTTGCCTTAGTATACTTTTACCTTTATGCTCTCAAGAGAGATCATGCTGATAGGACAGTAGTTATGTTTACATTCTTCATGTTCAAACGGGGGAGATGGGATGGTTACTTAAATGTTATGGGGAAAATATCCCTTTTATACTTTCAAGTTATTGTCAACACCAATGCTTAGCTCTTCCAGGTCCTATCTGAAGGTGTTTCCATGGTGAAAGTATGGTTATTTAGAATCTTAAAATACTTTAAGGAAAAACTCATTCTCTCTCACTCCCTACACTCCCAGCCTGTCTGGATTTAAATTCTAGTTGAAAAAACTGGTCACAAAAGATAAGTTCCCAGTTTAGCTACCTTAGTGACCAATTTCTGACTCACCTCTTGATTTTGAGATCAAGTTTTACTCTAAAAACAAAAGAACTTTACAGAAAAATACTAGCTCAGTTTATAAACAGAGTCTGACACAAAGTCACTGGAGGAAAATGTAGGAGATCTCAAAATGTTATGATACAAAGCCCATCCTTCCCTTGGTGGAGCAATTCCACAAGTTACAGAAAAATATTTTTCATTTGAGAATAAATTGGAAGAGAGCCTTTGCCAAGAGTCAGTTGTTTAAATTTTCAATTTGAATTTTAAGCAGGATTATACATGCCCAAGAACATCATGCTATTTTTAGCTAATAGGTAGGATTGCTGTGTCCATAACAGTTTGGAGCAATCAGGAGTGAAACTATTAAACAGCATCTCTCACTGTGGAACCTTATCACTTAGCACTTCTATTTCTATTTTAATATTTTCCAAACCTTCATCATAAAAACACTTGTAAAGCACCCATGCTAGACACAATACAAAGTTCAAATCTAGAAAGCCATGGTTCCTATACTTCATTATGGATTTAATCCACATTAAGTAAACCAGATATATGAAAGAATCTCATGGTTAGAACATTCCCAAATTGCCATCCAGCCCTTAAGTGTCCAGAGGTGATACATTAGTAACTGTCCTAACTAAACCTATCACCCTAATGCTTGTGCCCCCTTTGTGTATTAAAAGGAGAGGGGTAATGAAAATGTTCTAAAATATACTGTGGCCATAGAGGCACAGCTTTGCGCCTAAAAGCTATTGAACTGTATGCTGAAATGGAGAAATATGGTAAAAGACTTATACCTCAATAGAGTCATTTAAAAAAGGAGAAAAACTGTTCTTACTCTGATTATTCTAATTAGTCAAAGCTAAAGGCTGTATCTAGCTAAAGGCTCTACTGGGTTGGCAACCATGCCTCAGCGGGCACCATGGAGATCACTCTAACCTTCCCCTGCACATACATCTTTCCCTAGTCTCTCTTCTGTTATTTTCCCAGTCCCTTCCCGGTTGCTCCTCCACTCTTAATTAGGTCTTATGTCAGTCAGGTGTTCACAAGCATGGTTTGTCCCAACTGGCAAACCTCAGGATTAAACCAGTTGCTGACCCTCACCCCGGGCAACTTTCCCTTCATATCCTTAGGCAAGCCTTGTCCTTGTTCCAGTATGCACAATGAGGGGCTGGACTACGTGATCCTTTCCAGCTCTCACATTCTCTGTGAAAAAATTCCAAATAATGAACACTTACTTGGCCAATCACATAAAAAGTCTCTGCCATTTTTGCCAACAGATATATATTTGGGTTATTCATTTTGTAAATACCCACCGTGATTCAATCCTCCAAAGAACCGTATTTAATATATTTATAAAATGAGCAACATGGAGTCCTTATTTTTAAAAACTGCACTTTATCAGAGAAAATTCAGAGCCCAACAAGGAATGGTTGATAGTTCCTCTGGGCCAGTCTCCAGGGGTCCATTTTCAAATTTAAAAAAAAGTTTCTGCATGTTGGGGCTTTGTTGGAGTTACCAGATCAAGGAAAGAAGATTGGGGTGGTGGAGCATTAATAACAGTGGTTCACCTAAATGTTAAGAAAGACCTTGTTTAGGTAGTTGTAGAAAAACCTAACATAAGACAGCAACTTACATGATAAACTCTCAGAAATATACTCAGAGAGCAATAAAAGCTGCAGGAATCCCTTTACCCTGGGCAATTGCAGCATTTTATGCAAACCAGTTGCATTCCCCCACAAAAGTCATGTAAACATGTCATTGCTAGTTTCCAACATACCACAACAGACAAATTCACAGTATTGTTTCCATGTGCCCAACATTAGAGAGCAAAACTGAAAGAAACATCAGTTTCTCCTATAACACACACACATACAAGTATGCAAGAAAAACCATTTCCTTTGCAGAACCTACGTTGTCTAAGTTGTGGGCATGAAATGGATAAACATTAGTTGCTAATAAAAATCAGATGGTTACCTCTATACTGAAAAGCAAGCAGCACACATATAAATCATAAAAAATAACCCTAAGGTGCGCTTCTTGTCAGTAAGCTGAAAACTAATCATGGAGAGAAATGACTCAAAGTGTCCATTTGCATCCCTCTTATTATCTCGGACCAACAAGCTCTCCAGTTACCTCCCTTCACTTGTCCCCCATACATAAAACAAAGAAAAACAAAACAAAATAAAACTCCTGCAAAAAGTGGCAGGCTCTCTCTTCTTTCCCTTCAGACTCCTGGGGCACTGGACGAGCATGGGGGGAAGGGGCAGAAAGGACAAAGTAGGTGCTTTTGATCAGCTCTGAGACAGGGCTCCCTGCCTCTCCCCTTCTCATCGCGCAACTAGAGCACCTGCCAGGGTGAGGTCCCTTCCTCCACCTTTAGTAACCGACCCACAGGGCCTAGGTCCAAGAAGCCCAGGCGCTGCAGCTCCAGGGGACAAAGGCCGGGCTTACAAAGGAGAGGCTGAGGCGAAAGAAGTTGGGAATAGTTTGAGACCCTCGCAAACAAAAGCGAGGGGGCCTGGAGACTAACAAGCCAATCTTGGAGAGCTACCTCTTCCAGAGGTAGCCAGGTTGGGTGGGAAAATGCGTGTGCTGTGGGGGGGAGACTTAGAAAATTCCTCTGGGAAAGGGAATATTAGGGCGCTGTTTGGGGGCGCAGCAGCCGGCAGGAAGGGGGCTGCGAGAAGAACTGAAGCCCTGGAGCGAGAAGGGGGCACAGTTTGTGGTGGGGAGAGGAGACGGCAAAGACATGAAGGCCAGACGGTCCCACTGGAGTCTTAGAGCGGGCACTCAGCCCTGCGCGGCGACCCGAGGGGTCCTGAGGAGGGGCCCAGAAGGCGGCTGGGGGCACGCGGCGAAGGCATTCGGGGGAGAGGGCAGAGCTGGGGGAGCTGTGTTGGAAAAGAGGCTGAGAACAGAACCGTAGAGAGGCTAGGGGGGACCGTGAGGGGGCCTGACCCCCGTCCGCCCCACCTCACCTGGCGCCGGGTCGGAGTCCAGGTCTACTGCTGAGAAAGCGCCAGCTTCGGCCAGTCCCTCCGTCCCGCGCGGGAGACCACGGACACAAAGCGGGGCGCGCGGGAGGAGGGGAGGAGAGAAGAGGAGGGAGGAGGAGGAGACGCCTGGGGCGCGCGAGGGGAGAAGGAGGGGCGCCCGCCGCCCTCCGCCTGGGTCAGGGGGCGGGGCATGAGGCTGGAGGCCACGCTCGGCTGGCCAATGGGTATTCCGCCGGCCGGCAGGCTAGGGCGCGCCTTCCCGCTGCTCACCTCGGCACCTGGGCCTTGGTTGGCCCCAGCCAATCAAACGCTTTATTTGCATATACAGCCCCGCCCACTCGCCCCAGCCCGGGACTGCTCACTGAGAATACAAAGAAGGCCCCCCGCGTAGGGGAAGGGACTCTCGGATCTCCTATCCCATAGGGCATAGTGTCACCTTTTCAACGCGTTTATGGATCTTTCACGGTTATCCTGATGAGGGGAGGGGAGTGGGGGTCAGAGATTTGGTCCAAGATCTCTTAAAAGATCGAATCTCTTCTCCCTGAGGCCCTTCTAACCAACAGTTACTTTCCTCTTCCAGGGCAAATAGTTCCCTGTTTTGGCATCTTAGCCCTCCGCGCCCCCCCCCCTTTTCCAATCGCCTTAAGCTCTGTGCTTCTTCCCGTAGGCTGCTGCCCACTACTGGCTTTCTGCTGTACTGCAACCCTGATTAGTAGGCTCTGAGCACAGCCTTGATGCTTCCAAGCCATCCAAACCAACCCCAATCGAGAAGGAAAAGGAAAGAGGAAGAGATTACTGACCTAGGGTAAAAGGGACCTAGTCAAATAGCTTTGTTACCTTGGATGGCAAAAAGCCAACACTTAATGAAGTCTAAACTCCCTCACATCATTGCTTCCCACCTTCCCTTCTCCTACCTTCAGGTCTGTACTGGGCCACAATGGTGACTGACTGGCCAGCCCGTTTCAGAGCGGCTGCAGCCTGCTCGTGAGTTGCATTCCTCAAGTTCACTCCATTCACCTGTCCAAAGAGAGAAACTGTGAGCTCCCCAAAAGCAATAAAGGGAGTCTTTTGTCCTAGCAGTTAGGGGAGGTAGATGGGTAGCCTATCTCTAAGCCTATTCAGATGCCTTCCCCAATATTCTATCCCTGTCCCTAAAACAAGACCTAACGGATATGACATCTCTAGTGTAATAGTTATCTTTGTAAAGGTCAAATGCCAATCAGAATTAAAATTCAAGAGACACTCACTTCCTCCTCAAGGATAAGTCTGGTCTTGGTCCCAGTCCCTCAATAATGACGTCTATAAAAACAATGTAAGTTTCCTCCAGTTCTTAGCCTCTCCCTCATCTCAAGAAGCATTCCCTAAAAGAAATAAGGTCTCCCCTCCTCCCTTTTAGACTGGCGGAGCTCCCATCCTCCCACCTTGCCTTTGTCTCCTCACCGATAAGATCCGGTCTCCCCTGCGCAGCTCCCCACTCAGGTCAGCGGGGCCTCCTGCCAGGATGAAGGAGACAAAAATGCCTTCTCCATCCTCTCCTCCTACGATGTTGAAGCCCAGGCCTGTGGAGCCCTTGTGCAGAATGATCTTGCGGGGCTCTCTGGTGGGAAAGAAGTGGAGGAGTCAGGACAAAGTAGATGTAAACTATTGTCCCTATAAAGGCCAGCCTGGAACAAGGTCCATATTTGCTATAGGGAGTAAGGACTTGGGTCCCTGTGTATGGTACCCTGTTTCTCCCTTTGTCTCCTAAAACCTTCTTGGCTGCTGCTTTCTGTCAGGTGCCAAGTTTCAATTCCTCTTCCTGTCTTCCTGAGGATTTAGAATCAACTTTCCCATGGACTGTCCCCTACTCTCTCAGGTCAGCAAACCCCTACCCTGAATTCTAGATCTCACTCACTGGTCCTCTTCCTTCCCAGACTGTCCTATCCTACCAACCTGTGTGGTAGACCCTGGGCCACAAGAAGAGGAACCAATTAGGGACAGTGGAATCACCCTGGGGTTGATTGCACTCACCATTCACAAGATGTGCATACTTACTTTATCATGCTCCTCTACAGTCTCAAAATCCACCCCTCCTACCTTCCCCAAACAACAGATTTAGTCAGCAGCTACCACTAATGTACCCCCACCAGGTGATACAGGAGCCAGGGATAAATTAATCCCGGGTCCCCAAAAGGAGCTTAGGAAAACAGAAGACAAACACATGAAAAATCTGAGTAAAACTAATCACATCTAAGGAATCCCTCTGTAAAAGGTCACAGTGCCATTAGGTCAAAGACAGCCGCGCATGAATATCCATACAACCCAACTCCCAACGCGCTCTCCCAGTCCCACTGCCTTCATTGTATCTTTCAACAGTGAAGTCCAAAGCCCCAAGCAAGAATTCCTCCTTTCTTGCTTCCAGACTCGGGAGTGAGGCTCCCTCCTTGCGTCCCAGATGCTCTTGCTCATAACTCTCCAGTCCTACCTGGCATCTCCTCCGGGCTGCAGGGAGCGGAGTGGCCAGACCCACCTCTGGGAAGCCCTCCTCCAGGCCGAGGCCGAGCCCGAGCCCGAGCCCGAGCCCGAGCCCAAGCCCAGGGCCAAGCCGGATCCCGAGAACTTGCAGGCCCTCTCCATAGTTCCTGGGGCTCAACCTGTCTGCCTACCCTTCTGGCTCCACTGCAGCCTGCCCAGCAGCCTGCCAGGCCCCACCCCGCAAACCTGTCCCCTGGAACCCAGCCGGCCTGACCAGTTTCACCACAGGCAGGCACAGCTCCTGCCGCCGCTGCTGCCGGTGGGGCGGGCCCGATCCGCCGCGGGGCCACCGGGCTGGTCAGTCTCTCAGTGTCGCCAACCCCGCCGGCTGAACTGCTTTCTTGTCTAACTTGAAACGGTTGCAGCAGAGGGGGATGCAACTATCTTAGGGAAGGAAACTCCGCAGCCCTCACCTCCTGAGCACTCTAAACGCTCCACCCCACCTTTATCAGTACTTTCGGATCGGGGTCACTCACTCGGTACTCCCCCTGATGGTAGAACTTGTCCCTGCAGCCACCTCTGCCCCCCTCTAAAACCTGGGGCTATGCGGGCCTTAACCTCTTCTTTGTCATACTCCAAGGAGGCCTGTGGCCAGCCAAACACGGATTCTTCTCCTCCCCCATCTCTGGGTAGATTGAATGGGGCGGGAGCCTTACCTGGTGAAATCCTCCTCAGCCAGCATGTGCCTGGGGATAGGAGAGTAGCGAGTGGGGGGAACCTGAGGAGGAGCAGGATAGCTGACCTTGCTCTCCACAGCCCCAAGATAACCCAGGTTGGAATTATGGCTTATGTGGTTGTCAGCCAAGGCAGTAAAAGCTGGGATCAAGAAAGGAGGGAAAATTTCAGAGACAGGTTCATGCAGATATCCTGCCCCAATCCGCTCCAAGGACTTTACCCCACACCCCACTTCAGATGCAAAAGAGACCAAGGGATGCTGATTCTTCAGGCCACTCCTCCCCACTCCATCCAACCCCTACCCAGGGTTCCTCCTCCGCAGTCCCTTTCTAAATCCTGTGCTCACTCCTGTGAGTCTTAGAAAGAGCTGAAGTCAAGGCAGTCTACAAAGAAAGGCATGGCTAGAGGTGTGACTAATAATAATCCCTCACATCTCTATAGCCTAATACAGTTTTCCAAGGGCTTTCTTGTCCATGATCTCATTTGATCCTTGCAGCAGTCCTATGAGAAAGGCAGCACATATATCATTAGCTATCTTTTGCTAAAGAGGAAACTAAAGACAGATGAAAGGGACTTGGCCAAGGGCACCCAGCTCTAAGGGCTGGGATCTAGGCTTGGTTCTTCTGAGCACTATCCTTTGCATTTGCTTTCTCTTAACAAGGTGTATGAATTTCTTCCCTTCCAGAAACCAGAGAACAGGGCTTTAGGCCAAGGACAGGGGCTGATGGGTACGTACTGCTGGCGTAGTCAGGGGGAGCATACATGTCGTTGAGGTGGAGGCTGCCTGGCTTGGCCACCTTCAAATAAACCATATCAGATGTATTCTTCAGTGAGGCCACAGCTTCCTCATGCCTCACATCCTGCAGATTGGTGTTGTTCACCTAGAAGAGGAGGGGCCTCCAGCTAGGACTTGGGAGAAGAGATGGCTTCTCCAGGAAACAATGAGAGGTATCCTTTCAGTGAAATTCAACAGTGTGCTAACAGAGGCTTAAGTATAGTGAGTATAGTGTTGTGAGAAGTGCAGAGGCAGGAGGTAGGAGTAGAGCAGGTGAGGGGACCCTAGCCACAAAAATGGCAAGGGCCTTGGTATCCGGATAAACACAGATGATACTCTTGAAATTCCCCATGATGTCCCATTTTTGAGTGAGGTTTAGGTGGAGTGAGAGAGTGCTGGAGCTCCTCCTACCCACCCTACCATTTGGGCATCCCCCTGAAGTCTGTCTCACCGCCAGCAGCCGGTCTCCAATCTGTAGACGTCCATCCTTCTGAGCAGCACCCCCTTCAATGATCTTGGTGATGTAGATGCTGTTGTCTCCTGGGATGTGCTGATTGCCAATACCCCCAGCAATACTGAAACCCAGGCCTGGGTGGGAGCCAGCAGGGAGTGAGAAAGGGCCACAAGGAGAGGTTAGAGTGTCATCAATCCATATCTACCCCCCTCCCCCAGCCAACCCACCGGCCCCACAGAAACTCCCCTAAGGGATCCCAAACACTAGGCTGTAATCCCAAAGTCAGTAAGGGTGAGACCTGAGGTCAAGAAAGAAGGTTGTAGGTTGGAACAGGGGGAGTCAGGCAAGGAGTAAGGTCATTCCTTTTCATTCCCTATGGGGACAAGCAGGATCTGGGGTCTGGGGGCACCGGCTAGAGCCAGAAACCCAGAAGGCCACACCTTTGGGCCCTTTGAGCAGATTGACTTCCATGATGGTCTCAGGTGGGGGCTGTCGCCTCCGCACTACCAACCGCACCACAGGGCCCGCCTCCTTCAGTGCCTCCACAGCCCGGCTGTGCACCACCTCTGACACGTCCACCTCATTCACCCGCAGCACACAGTCATTCACCCTGTGGAGGAAGCCCAAGAGACATGACACTGTGCCACCGCCCCTCCACCCCCTCTCCCACTTCCTCCCCCTCTTTTTTCCTTCCCTCCCTGGCCCTTCTCTCCCCCTCTCTGTCTCAGATGTAATGGAAGGGTCATCCTGCCAGGTTGGCTCTCCTCCCCTCATCTCTACCCTGCCCCTGCCACCCACAACCCTGCTTCCAAGCCATCTCACCCCAGCCTGCCATCCATGGCAGCTGCTCCACCAGGGATGATCTTGGTAATAAAGATGCCAGGGTCATCAGGGACATGGGGATTGTCGATGCCACCTGCGATACTGAAACCCAGGCCAGAGTTGCCCTGCAGAAGGGGGTTAAAAGGCACAGTCTGTTCACTCTGAGGACACAAAGGAGGGTTCTGGGCACCCCATCTCCCCCTAGGTCCCAGAGCAAGTTCTCCAGACCTTAGAAGAGGCCATGGCAGGCTGGGACACATTTCTCAGCCTGTGCTGACCATTCTGGCAAGGAGGCCTCAGCAAACCCATCCCCTCCCCAGTTTCCCAGGCCTCAGAGAGCAGGGTCAATTAATATTTGTTAGTGGGTTGATTGATTGATGCAGTGAAGTGGCCTCGGAGGCCGCTGTACTTCTCTCCTCTTGAAAGGATGCAGTTTCAAAACCATGGTTCAGGGCCCTCCCTTCTCCTGGCTCCAACCCTCTCCTCCTCATTCATCCCCTCCCCATCAGCAGACTCACCCGCTCAAGTACTATCTCCTCGTATTTGAACATGCCATCGCTGCCATTCACCTAGGGGAAGACACGGCAGTTCCCTCAGTGTCTCCTGTCTTCCCAGCCATCTGCGCCTTGGTCAGCCTGCCTCCTTTCTCACTTCCACAGAGTAGGAGAGCCCAAGTACATCCCAAAGCACCTCTTGGCCACATATGAGGACAGGCTGACCCCGAGGAAGCTCCTTCCCTCCCTTGCTTCCAACTATATCAGGACAAATCCAGCTGCTCATTTAGCCCAAACCAATTGTTTGAGACTGAGCCAGCCAGTGGTGCACTCACTGAAAGGCTGGGCTCCAGGGCCTTGGGGTTCACTAGGAGGGGTGCAGGGCTGGCCTAAGGGCAGTAGCAGAGATAGAGCATGGCAGGCAAGCCATGCCACTCCCAGCATTCATAAAGGGTACCCAGTGGCCTGGACAGGGAACCCCTTCCCCTTCTTGGCAATTATAGATTCCTACTGTGTCAGAACTGGAAGGACAGCAGATATCATCTTGTCCAACCAATCTCATGTAACATATGGTGACATGAAGATTCAGAGAGGACATAGGATATGCCTAAAGGCACACTGGAAGCAAGGGCTGAGCAAGGGCTAGAACCTAGATCACCAGGTGTTCTTTTGATTACAATAAGCTCTCAAGGCCACTGATGTTTTGGTCACTCATCCCCTTCCCCCAGCAGAGCTCATGGGAAAAAGGAAAGTTGCCCCCTTCAGAGTACTTCATGAACCCTCATTCTATACCACCTTCTGTGGCTCCAGGAACCCAATTCCTCAAATAGATAGGAGTCAAAGTCCTAATCTATTTTCTACCAAGGGACTTTTGATCCTGAACCTTTTGTGTTTCCTAGCAGAAAGGAAGAGAGTGGGATCCGGTCAGATGTCAGAGGCAAAGCTAGGGGAAGAAAGGGAGCAAGGTGAACAAGATGCCCGTGAGGGAGAAGTTGATGATCCACGGATTTATTGGCAGCAGATTTCATGGTCTTCAACACGCAGTAACCATGAGAAGGGAGGCAAGGGAAGGGGTCAGAAGCACAGGGTAGGTTTGACCAATCCACAGAGGTAGCCTCCCAGAAAGGACATACTTGTGTCCATTTGTCAAGTGAAAATGTGATTCTGGACAGACAAGCAGCACCTGCTCCCTGGCTTCCACTCTTATTCCCAAGAATGGAGGAGCCCTCTTGCCTTTCTCCCCAGGGATCCTGTCATACCTCCCCCACCATTTTCTGGCTGTGTTGTTTCTTTCCTAACCCTTGGCCTCCTCAGAAGAGAAGAGGAAATTCAGAGCGGGGGCTCTTCCACATGCCCTGCTCTGCTTCCACTTCCACCTCACACAGCTTTGGTTTCAAGAAGCAGAGAGGGGGAGAAGGGGAGAGGACTGGTTAGTCATGCCTCTATCATTTTTGGGTTTGGCCCCAGGATATCCTGCCCTGCAGCCCTGGGAGTTGGTGGAAGAACTCCAGTTGCAGCCTCACCCCGGTCCCTGATCCCAGGAGGAAGAATCAATGGTTTTTCAGAGACCCCAAATCAACAGAGTTGCCTTAAGTATCATGCAACAGACACATAGGCAAAAGGACACCCATGCAGCTCTTGTATGCATCTGGTGTACCATGTGTGCTCACATGTGATGAGCCATGCCTCAAGCTCAGCTCAAGTGATACCCAGAGGCTTCTAGCTCCCGGTGGTCTACCCTCCGGCCCCACTCCTATTCAGGGACCTTGTTCCCAGGGCCAGGAGTCATCCAGGGATCAGCCCTGGCAAAGAAACCTTAGCCAACTGACCCAGCCCTGGAATTGGCACCCATCTCCCAGCTGGGCAGGACAAGCATGAGAGGGTGTTTGCAAGAGAAAGCACCCAGGACAGAGGGGCAAAGGAGATAGGGACTCGCTGGAGAAGGCAAGGGGCCAATGCAAGGGATGCAGGAAGAATGTGGACTGACAGAAGGCCAGAACTGAGGACTCCTCTCCCCAGGAAGTCCCCACCTTTGCTTCTGAGAGACAGCATATCCTATCCCCAGAGGAGGACAGAGGTGGCCAGAACGGTCACCAGCTTGGGACAGTCAGCACCTGCCTTCGACAGCAAAGCCTACTCTTTCTCTCTTCTCACCCTGGGAGCTGCAGAGCTGGAGAACCAGACAGGCCCTCTGCCTTGTGTGCCAGGGACCTGGCTCTGCCGGCCCAGCCTCCATTTTGCTGCTTCTCCCACAGATGCTCCTTCCATTTTCTAAGCTGGCAGTTTAGGCTTGGAGTGGAAGCCGAAGCCGGAGTTCTGCTTGACACCCAGGGGCTCCCAAGCTGTGCCAAGTAAGGACCGGGGGGCTAAGCTTTCTCACATCTGGGTGTACCCAAGGGGGACATGCCCCATTGGGGCCAGTCCCTACACCAGGGCAGATGTCCCTTGCTTGGTTCCAGACACCATGCCTGCACTGGAGCAAGGAAGCTTGCTTCAGTATCTCCAAACCCCCCCACCCCAGCACAAACACTTCAGAGCTGCTTGGACAAAAGAGTCTGTCCTTAGCAGCCTCTCAGCCTTGCTTGGGACGTGTCTCTCTCCTCCTTCCCTTCCCTCCCTTGCCTGTCATTGCCTCTCACCAGAGATAACACACACACACACACACACACACACACACACATAGGCACACGCATGCACACTCTTGCAGCCACATGCTCACACATATATGCATGTAGCCACACACACAAACATAGCAATCCTTGCAGCCTTCTCTACAGAGACACCTCCACATTCAGAGAGACATCCCCACATGTCCATGTGCACACTCACACACAAAGGGACTGGGACGGAAAGGGACTCATGGCATTGAGGGATGAAGCTCAGTGAGCCAGGCACATGGGCTCCTCTACAGATTCACAGAAGCTCCATTGCCTTCCTCCACACACCCCAACATACATACACATACATATGTCCCCCCTACGCAGAGCACCATGCCCCCTCCTCCCCTCCTGTGGAGACACACACCACACACAGCCCCCGCAGAACCTCCCGCCCCCTGCCAGACACAGAGACATTGCCAAACCCCCACATTGAGACAAACCCAATTCCCCCACACAGGAAAACGTGCCCCTCTGCCATACCATCACCCCCGACATATACAGCTCCTCCCAATCCCCTTCAAATGGAGACCCCCCAAACAGACACACACATTTCCAACGGCCTCTCTTTGGGAACCACACATTTCCAACGGCCTCTCTTTGCCCAGCTGTAACGCCTGGGCTCAGGATCCACGGGCTTAGAGCCTCACCAACCCCTGATGCACCCGAGGCCTCTAGGCCCCCACTCTCCAGCGCTCCCGGGTTGCCCCACCCCCCGCCCTCGTTGGTCCATACCTGTTCATACCAGTCCCGGTTGGTACAGGTGCACTCAGGCCACCAGCTCGGGCCGCTGCCGTTGAGTTTGGGGGTGCTCTTGCCTGGAACTGGCTTGGGGGGCACTGGCCCCACATCCCGGCCGGTGGGGATGAGCTTGGCCTTCGTGCGAGGGGTGGGGGTGGCCCCCGCCTGCGAGGGCAAGGTCTGGGAGCTGTAGCCCCCATAACCCGCGCTGGCCCCATTGCCGCCACCTGGCCCGTAAGGGTCGGGCACCTGCCAGTCCCCGTAGCCCG